TATATTAAAGACTAATCGAATTAAGAATTAAATATATTAAAAGAGAGTATATAGATTATTTAAATTAGACGAAGTTAGAGGAATACGTAATATATAATATTATTTATTATTATATTCGCTCTTAAGAATATAATAATCGAGTATCTTAGATCTAATATACTTAACTTATAGACGTATTCTATTATATAAATCTATACGCTACTTTAAATTCCTTAATAATATTATTATATAATTCTATTTTAACTTTAAATAATAAGATAAAAGTAAGATCGATTTAAAGGTATTTATTATTTTAGTAGATAGAAGAAAGCTATCTTCCTTATTAACGACTTAATCTCTACTATTATAAATAATCTTAATTCTAGAAAACTTATTAAGAACTTAACTATTAAATCGAGCAATATTCTTATTAAAAATATAAAGAATCGCTTTAGATGTATAAAAATTAGCTATTCGATATAAGTTAAAATTATTATAAATAGTATTAATTAGCTAAGTAATAAAGTTATTTAATAATTACTCGATAAACTAATTAATCGCTTCTCGTTCTTTAAAGCTTATTAAGATATTATTATCTATATCTAATAGCCTTTAAGCGAATTCCTTTATATTAGTTCGACCTTAATTAATAAGATTAAGATTTCGAAGTCTTATATTTTCTATTAGTCTAAGAATTTAAATATAATTTTAAAGATAAGACGCTTTTAACGTAGCTCGAGCGATATAATCTAACTTAGTACTCTTAATAACTAAAAGAATTTAATGAAAGTCACCGTAGAAGTATATAATTATACTATTAAAAGGAGTAGAGTTCTTTTAAATATTTTAAAGTATATAATCGACGGTCTCGATATCGTAGCGATTTTATATAAAGATCTTATCTTAGAAAATAAGCTCGATCGCCTTTAATAACTAAGTTAAATTAAATTCTATTAATATATTATAATTAAACTAAGTAATAATATTAAGAGAGATCTTAAAGCGAGAATAAGTGGTAATACCACCTTAAAGAAGGATAAAGGCGATATTAGATAAAGCTATAGCAACAGCTATCTTAAAGTTATTTTATACTTTTTATAATACAATATTCTAAAGTATAATCTTATTAATATCTTTATAGTTATTAAGAAAGAAGAGTTAACTATTAAAATAAGAGATCGCGTTTTAAATAGCGTTAGCTATAGTAATTTAATTATTATTAAAACTTATCTATATCTAATCTTAGATATTAATTTAATAGCTATATACTTCGCGTAGAAGTCGATTTTAATTATTAATATAATACTATTCGTAATCTCGCTAAATTACGAATAGACTAAAGTTAATAATAAGACTAATATTCTTTATAAAGCTAATATTATTTTTCTTTAAGCGAATTTAAATTAAATAAAGATAGAAGTCTTCGATAACGATCTACTTATATTATATATCGTTCGATAGAGAAAGAGTATAATACTAAGTTTAAAGGATATAAATAAGATTATTAGATAATCTAAATAAAGAATAATAAGTATTAGTTAAGAAATATACGTAAAGTACGAAAGAAGAATCAAATTATTTACGGGTAAAAAAAGAAAAAATACGTCTAGCGCGAAAAGTTTTAGTAGCTAAAAAAAGAATATTATATTAAAAAAAGTCGCGATATTTTAAAATCACCGTTAGCGCGGTAATCTTCTTATTCTATAGCTTAAAGTACTTTAACTTATTAAAGAAATTATTAAGAAAAAATACATCTAGCGCGAAAAGTTTTAGTATATAAAAAAAGAAATACTATACTAAAAAAAAGTCGTAATATTTTAATATTATCGTTAGCGCGATAAGCTATTTATACTACGCTTAAAGTATTTCTATCTAATAAAGAAGAAATTATCTATATATCTTAATTTATAATTATTTTATAAATTTAGAGAGTTATCGAGCTTATATTATAGTAGAATTATTATAAAGAAATCTTATAAGATATATTCTCTCTACTAGACCGCTACTTTATTTAATACTTAATCTTATTTAACGTTATTATAAAGTAAGTCTCTTATTATATAAATACTATAATAGAAAAAAAGAATATTATTATTTATCGTATATAAGTCTTCGAAGAATATAGAGTTTAATATATTTAGAAGAAGATATCGTAGATAGAAGAGCTTTTCAGCGTTCGAATTAATATAGTATATTCTTATAATAATACCCCTACGCCTCTAATATAAACTCTATTTAAATATATCTTACTTATTCTTTTTCTAGATATATTACATTAATAGATCGATATAGAAGAGATCTTCTATTTATCTTCGCTGTCGACGTTGTTAATTTAGCTAAAAAAAGACTATTAACTTAATCTAGCGTTTACCTATAATATCGATTATCTAGTTTAAATTATTATTATTATTAAATATTACGTCTTATTAATTCGAAAGATAAATAAATAATCGTTCGATAGAAGAATTATAATTATATAATTTAAAGCTAAAAATTCTTTAATAGACTTTCGTAGAGCTTA